TGGGATTGGCTGCAATAATTAAAGAACACAAGATAGCCAGAACAAATCAGGACATCGTGACTTGTCATGTCATCGTTACTCTAGCGAAGGAGCCAAGGGGCAATATTCCTATGGTGGAACTGATTGTGTTCCCAGGAGGAGGCTTCACTGAGATACTCTTCTTGGTTTCAACATCCGGTGGGATGGCAATGGGCAAGACGCGGAGAGCCTTTTCCTAGGTCGCCAAGAGCATGGGATTCTGGTTCAACTAGCTATTTTATTTTTGGATGAGGCAAATTTTACCTTTTATTTGGTGTTTGAAGTCAAAAACACAAAACAATGAACACATTATGAGCACTGTATGTTTTTTTCTCAAAATGGTGATGCTCAAAAATCTTTTACAGCACCCTTGAATATATTGTTTCGAGCATCCCCCATTTTGAGATATTCGGTAAAAAACAAATTCAATAATTGAATATCAAAGAATAGCTACAGCCTAGAATCTTTCTCCTTCCAAAGGGCAATCAAATCCACGGTCTTTGCAGGTACCCCTCCATTGTTGGGACCCGGACCCTCCATACTGCCATCTTCATTTTTCAAACCATCCCCATGGTTCGAACCATCCCCATGAACAGACACGTGCGTTTTTTTCCTGATGCGCCTACCACCGGTTGCCACCAGTGGTGGCGCAACCTCGTCCCCAGGCACACCCCCTTCCCCATTGCCACCTGTCGGAGATGCTCCCGAAGGAGCCTCCTGATCCTCATTTTTGGGAATAGAATTCTTGGCTCTACCCCTTCCTTTCCCCTTTCCCTTCCCTCGCCCACCCTCGGGCTTCAGCATTCCCTTGATGACTTTGTGATCTGCCATGGCCCTCTCAACTAATTGCTGGGCACTCGTAACCTTTGCTGCCTTGGTCCTGGCAAGCTGGGCACCGTAGACATCAGCGTCAGTCTCAGCAGCCACTTCGCTGAGGAGCGCCATGTCAGACTTCGAAAGCGTAGGCGGGACCGTCTCAAGCGGAGATTGGTCCTCAAGGGCAGGGAACGTGTTGGATGAACAAAATCCTCTGCCAGGTGGAGACTTGTGTGGTATAGCACTGGGATAAACCATCTACCAGGTGGTCAAGGATTTCTTTCATCCACATAATATGTATGATACGGGATCCAAATAATGGGCTTTAGAGGGCTCTAAAAATGGGCAATATCATTTTTTTCATGAAGATGGATCTCCTTGTTGGCTTGGCGACGCCCCCCTGCATCGCACATCGATTCATCTTGGTCAGGAAGTCCAAGGGGCAGGGTTTCCATCTCATCGATGTTCTCCTCACGGGATTGGTACCACCATGGGTGCAAAACAAATATGGTTAACCATGTTGAACCACCAACTATCATTTTTGAATAATAATCGCTACTTTCCTAGTTTTAAATGGCCAGGAATGGAGGCATACCGATTTTCAAGCACACCTACCTGTTTGGGCCTAGACATGGCATACTTAAACCACCAAAGTAGTCGGGATCAGCAAAGCCAAGTTGCTTTCGGGCGGGCATCCTCTGTCGGTACAGCTGGTGGGCTAGCGGACGGAGTGGATGCTTCCGAGAGCTCCTAGTAAAGAACAAGTTCAACTGGGAACGGAACCGACTCATATGCATAGGTTGTTTTACATGTGTCTTGGTAATTTCCTAATCATGAATTTCAGTTAGAGTGAAAGGGAGCAAGTTCAACTGGTAATGGAACCAAATCAGATCGTATAGGTTGTTTATCTTTTTGCGCAAACTACTCATGTGTTTCAGTTGGGTGAGATGGATGCAGAACCCGAACTCCTCACATGAAGATCCCATTGCTGCACCCTGGATAGAAGCTTCGATTGTCGCATCCGGAGTGGCACCTGGAAGGCGATTTTGTATACAGAAATTCTGGTAGACCCATGACCCAAAACCTTTTGCTTTGGAAACAGGTTGGCACAAAAAAAACAATCACAAAGAGATAAATCTACATAGTAGCATCGAGGCTATATCATCATGGTGCCACATTCCCTCCATGATCATTAACCTGCCTGCGTCAGAAAGCAGTTTGTGGACAAACTGCTTCAAGAAATCAACCCGCTTGCTTCTGGAGGTCATACTGCGCTTGCAAAGGCTGAGAGCGTGGGTCACCAAGACTCTGACCGTGGGTGCTTGGGTTTTCACCCAATCCTGTGCCAAGTTTACACATCCCCCCAAAAAAATATAGGGATTCAACAAAGCTGACATCACCAACAGTATGGGTTTATTAATAGTCTGAAATTATAACCACCAACTACCACAAGAATGGCGAATCTTAACCATCTATCACTTTTGGGGGGTTGGCAGAATGAATCCGCATGGCTCATGGTGAAACAATTCCAGGCTACTGAAATTTCATGTTGGGATATGACTCCAAAAAACAATATTCACCCCTTTTGTCCACACATGTCCTTGATTTGCCGGGATTTGGAAAAGATCTGGTATCGCTTGGCAAGATCCCCTATGACCATCCGGTGGATACCCATATTCGGAATGCAAGTTGTTCCGAAACTTGCGAAGTACTCCATCACGAACTCCATCTGTGATTCGACCTGGGTGCCAAAGGAATCAGAATGTGATGAGGAATAGCGAGTTGTGGGCAAATGTGAGTTAAAGGGGAATGATGGTGTCACTTTGTCCTTTTCTTTAACCAGCGATAACGTGGTCCTGTGTGATATAACACTAAGTCATATGTTTTGTGAGCCAACATGGAAATTCAAAGCCTAGAAACTCCCAGACTGTGATCCGGGCCAACATCTGCAGGTAGCACCAAAATTTCCTTGGTCTTCCTGATAGAGTCCAGATTCTTGACAAACCAGCTGTTGAGGAAGTCCTGCTGGACTCCCAAAGGCAGCATGGGCTTAACAATACTAAAATCCAGATCGAGATAAACACAATGTTTCATGATTGCCCCCCCAAAACAAGAGAGAACAATATAATTCACAAAAATGAAACATCGTATAGATAGGTAGATAGTAGATAGATAGATTTAGATATAGATATAGATGTAGATATAGAAATAGATATAGATAGATCGATCGATAGACAGAAAGTCACATAGACGGACAGACAGACAAGACAGACAGACAGACAGACAGACAGAGAGACAGACAGAGACAGACAGACAGACAGAGACAGACAGACAGAGACAGACAGACAGAGACAGACAGAGACAGACAGACAGACAGAGACAGACAGAGACAGACAGAGACAGACAGAGACAGACAGAGACAGACAGAGACAGACAGAGACAGACAGAGACAGACAGAGACAGACAGACAGACAGACAGAGACAGACAGAGACAGACAGAGACAGACAGAGACAGACAGAGACAGACAGAGACAGACAGAGACAGACAGACAGGCAGGCAGACAGACAGACAGACAGACAGACAGAGAGACAGACACTGATGCTTCTCTACACCGGCCCGTGTCCTCCAGAACCAGCTTTTGCCACTGCTTGTCTGCCACCGACATGGTGTGCTGAGGTGCCGAAAGACACGGAGCTGAGCAAAGAAAAAGGTCTCTGGAAATGGGCAAGCTGTTGACCAGGCCCAAGAAATTTATCTGACAAGTAATCATTTCCCCATTATCAGTTGACCCCCAAGATAAATACTTTTCTGGAGATGTTTAGACCCCAAGATAAATACTTGTATGATGTTTTTTTGATCACATTAATGAGGGGGAATGATTTCTGTCAGCTACTTATAGTGGTTCCAAACATGGGAACATCAAGAATCGTTTTTCAATATTGTGCCTACCATCTACCACCATATTGTCAGGAAATTGTGATAAACCGGTGAGCGTTTGACATATCCTCTCTGCAGATCCCAATCTAAAGTTCACACCAGCCCCATTCCAAAGAAGCAGCAGGGGGGAGTCGCACCTGCCCAGTAACCCAAAGGCCCCACATCCGGGGAGGGGCCAGATGTAGATGATGAAGATGCCAGACCAGCACCATCACTCCGGGCCCGTTTGGCATCCCGATTGGCCCGGAGTCTTTCTAAATGGCGTTTCATCAAAAGTATAAGGTGTGGCAAACCCAAATCAGAATTATAACTCTTACATTCTGATTAGAGGTATTGAAACAAGTCATTGTTGAGTGCCAAAACTGGGTTATCTTCCAAAAACCACTGCCCTTTTATAATTTCCCAGACGATCCTTACTATTCCGTTTTGACTTTGATAATGGCCACCGCCCTCATCGCATCCTGGGGCCTGGAAGAGGCTCTGCGGGGAAGCTGGGTATATATATTTAATAGATCACCATCAAACACCATCAAACACCATCAAACACCATCAAACGTCGAAATATATGCCCGCAATAGACATGTAGTGCTATTTTGGTAACATAGCACTTTTGATCATATTTGAGGACATGGATTCTCAGGGAATGGTTCTATAGGATTTACCCCACAAACGACCTAGAAAATAATAAGTCTTAGTAAAGATATTTTCTTTGTGGTTGACTTCGGCCATCTTGAACCTTTTGTGGGGATAATCTTTGTCACAACTGGCTGCAAAACCTGTGGCTCCATCTGCAGTGAGAACGCTAGAGCTGGGAACCCCCCCTGATGATCATACGACAGCATGTGCAACGTGTGCATCTTCTGTAACGTAAAGGAAGTGCTCGTCAAGAACGTTAATACACCCCCCACCCCCCTTGATGTTCATACGACAGCATGTGCAACATGTTAAAATATTTTAAAGAAAACAAATCCCATACCCCCATTTGCGCAAGCCTCATTTTTTGAAATTTGCAACCCTTCCAAGGGATCGTAAATGGCACATCTATGCACATCTCAAAATTGGCAACCCTTCCAAGGGCGCCGTATCAGCCGCATGCCATAAACATCCGTAAACATCCATTTTCAGAAATCTCCTGAAACATCAATATATAAAGATCAACCATAAGCCCAGTGAAATATTTGTAAAGCAAATCAACTGAGCCGCTCAGCTAAAAGACGCGGGCACCGAGGATGGTTGGACGGAGATCCTGAATGGTGGAGGCTCTAAATGGAAGAGAAGGCTGGCTGTGGGGAACAAACGGAAATTATTGGTGGATACAGCAATAGGTATATACATATATATATATATATATTCATTATATATATATATACATTATATTATATTGGTCATTCATTATTCATTGATCATTTATTATTGACATGATTGACTCTTGATCATTATTGTCCATTACTGATCATTATTGATTCATAGCCAGGTGGTGAGCACAACGTCAAAAGCAACCCCCATATTCCCCAATGACCTACCAGATCTTGGCAGAAATGGATTATGTAGTGCAGGCCACAAACAATCCCAAAGTGGAGGCTTATGATGGCATTAGGCTTGCCACAGTACAGAATGAACCATAGTGTGGGCACATGGAAGAAGTGTAGGCACACTGAGTACGCGACACGACCTGCCAATATATAATCCAGGGTTGTTTAGTGTTGAACATACAACGAGATTTCAGTGGGAATGCACCATTTAAAAACAGTATGTTTTATTTTTTTGGTGGGTCCCTGCAAGAAAATTCAAGAAATCAATGGACAAGGCAATCTGCCCGGAGCACGCTGGATCATGACAGGGACTTAAACGGATACACCGTAAGCCCAGTGCCATAAAGCTTCATTTGGGTTTTCATACCGCTTTCTGAAAACAAGGATGGCCTAAAACCCATTGGTTCATCATCATTGATTACCATGTTGGAGGTTTTTCTCCAATTTTCACGCATGGTTTTGTCTTAAACTTGTGTAATGGTTTATTGTTATATTATATGTCCTTTAAACACATTTTGGAAGACCCCCTCCTTTTTGAGACGAGCCGAGAGATTGTTGGCGAGTTGCATCCCCAATATTCCTGCGAAACTCTGGAGGATTCCAAATGAGGGGCCTGCCTGCGATTGTAGCGCTGGCTGCCCGTTTCCACAACGTATGAACCCTGCGGCCGGCTGCCCCTGCTATCACTGCGGCCGCCCTAATACCTAAGAAAGTATGCTACCAAAACGGGCAAGGCCCGGGAATCATGATGGGCTCCTGCAATTTTGCTTGTTCAGACTTTTCACAGTGCCACGTATTTGTTCACGATGTGACAAATTATGCCAGCCATTTCAATGTAGAATATGCCACCCTTTTGCTTATCCAAGAGAGGTGTCAAATTTTCAAGGGTGCCAATTCTCATTTTGAAAAGACGATTGCATGATGATTTCCACGTTCTTTTTTCATGTTTTTCATCATCCTCAAAACATAGCCCATAACCGAGGGGAACTGGTGGTCTTAGGATGAAACTACGTCCATTTAAAGATCATACTTGCGGGTATATAAACACACTTCCTGGAGTCGTATCCCAACTTATGATGGGGACACACCATAATCGTGGTTGTGTCCTTGGGCTTGTCTGAAAAGTGGCAACCCCAATTCCAAAGGAGATCAAAGGAGTAATTATCACATCTGTTCCTATTCAAACAATAATGGAAGGGGCATCCCCTATTCTTCTACAAAGCCAATGCAATACTGGGTCGGCCTTGGATGCGCCCTTTGTCTTTCAACATTTTCAATAATGGGGAATCCATGGGAAGCATGTGGAGATATCAGCCTAACCTAATCAACTAAAAGATAATTTGTTGAAGGGCATCCAAGATTGGCTATGAATATAGCAAGCTAAAACAGACAGACAAGTTCGACAAATTGGAATTATGAGCTAAATATCATGGAACTATTATCGGTTCCATCAATCTCGCTATTTTTAAAAGGACCCCTTTTTGAGCTCCAGATATTGCACGATTTTCCAAAGTTCGAGCCAGGGGCCCATCATGATACCTCCATTTGGAGGATGCTTTGGGCTGTTGCTTCCATGGGCGCGACAGTCTGGAGTTTCACCAGCACCTGACTTCCCTGGTGACATCTTGTCACGCATTACCTGTGTCATCAAATATTGAAATCCTGGCACTATAGAAATGGAGCTTTTCCGGGGAAAATCATTTGAACAAAAGGGTGGGATTTTCAGCAGGCCGGGTAGATGACATAAGCATGGCAGAATGCAGAGGTTTTTTGAATCATTTATCGTTAGGTGCATACCGATGTAGGTGGATTCCAAAGACAAGGTAGCGATTCTTGAATTGCTATCCGAAAAAATCACAGCGTGACAGCATTGGAAAATGGGGTCATCAGCATTGTTCTTAGCTTCCCGCGCCTGCCCAATAAAAGTAGTGGGTCACATAAACAGGTGATAATTTGGCGGTTTCGCAAAACACTGCTCTTATTCCTACATACGCACACAGGCACATGTAGATAGAAAGATAGATAGCTAGCTGGATAGCCAGCTAGATAGGTGGGTAGATAGATGAGATAAGACTAGATTACTGTAGACAAGATGAGATAAGATGAGATGAGGTGAGATAAGGTGAGGTAAGATGAGATAAGATACGATATTTTGATAGGTGGAAAGGATAGAATGTTCTTGAAGTATATCCCTGA